TAATGTTCACATTCTCTGTACAGCACAGTCTAGGCAACCAAGATGACAGTGCAGAGAATGGAAATGCCTGTGAACTCGAATCCTACTTCTTTTAAAATGCTCATATTGAAACCTACAAAAAGTCGCCGAAACCGGTTTGGCTCAGTGGTAGAGCGTCGGTCTGCGGACTGAAAGGTCCCGGGTTCGATTCCGGTCAAGGGCATGTACCTTGGTTGCGGGCACATCCCCGGTAGGGGGTGTGTAAGAGGCAGCTGGTCGATGTTTCTCTCTCATCGATGTTTCTAGCTCTCTATCCCTCTCTCCTCCTCTCTGTAAAAAATCAATAAAATATATTAAAAAAAAAAACAAAAAAAAACCCAGAAACCTACAAAAAGTCAACAAGTTCAAAGGAAAGTGATCGACCATGATGTAATTTTAATAAAATGCCATCAACTGCCTACTGCACGCCCACACCAGGGATAGAGCCCGCAACCCAGGCATGTGTCCTGACTAGGAATTGAATCATGACCTCCTGGTTCATAGGTTGATGCTCAACCACTGAGCACACCAGCCGGGCCTGATGGTTTTATCCAATTTCCAATACAGATTTCTATGTAACAGCTTAGGTACATATAGAAAAAAATATTTTGTGAATTTTCAGGGTAAGAATTTGATATAGCAGCTGTTTCGAATCTGAGCAAAGAAATATTTTCTTAAATAGAGTGCAAGGAAAAAATAATAGCCATGTTTGATGGTAACACAAGGAAAACATGACCACGTATCAGCAATAATATACTTTTAATTATTGCAGGGATTCCAGAGTGAAAACTAATTTCTTTGAGTCCAGCTCAGAAGATAAAGCATTATATTCCACTTCCAATGTAAGAATCTAAAATACAAGAAAGATCTTCCTAAGGTTGACTTTTTTACTAATAACTCACTCTGTCTTCTTATAAGTCTTTATGTGTCAACAAGACTTCCTTTCAAATAAATCACTTAATGTACTAACTTTTCTTTATTTCTAGAAGGTACAGTAGGAGATGAGCAGAGAGAAGTGTCCTGATTCTTTCTATTGTATAAATAACTGTGACTTTCCCAGGTGGAGATTGTTTTCTACTTTGAAGGAGAGCTATGAGTAAAACAACTTATAGTTGTGTGCTAGAAGATAACCAGTAAATAAAAACAAATATAGCAATGTAGAATACATATGCAATTAAAATGTTATTTGGTTGTGATAATATTACAATGGCAAGTATATATCAATACATGGACATAGAATCCTAGGTTTTTTGTGTGTGCTGCGACTGAAGATCAAACAAATGTGAAAAAATCTTCTTAAGCTAGCCCATGCCATAGATAACCAGAAGAGAAGAATTTCCAGCAGAGAGAACTTGGCAAATTTGATACATTCTGCTATGAAATAAGGGGACCCATGGTAGAGAAATGGCTTCCCAGGGATTCTTGCAGGAAATGGCTTTCAAAATATGCACTTGGTAATTTGTATAGAAATACAATTTCTGAAAACAAACCAAAAGGCCTAGCTGCTTGTTACCACATGAGACACCCAAATGCTTGTATGTATTTGTTTTGCTCCCCATCAAAATTCATTATATGCACTCAGTTGGTGTAGCTCAGTGGTTGAGTGTCAACCTATGAACTAGGAGGTCATGTTTTTTGTTTGTTTTTTTAAATATATTTTATTGATTTTTTTTTTACAGAGAGGAAGAGAGAGAGGGATAGAAAGTTAGAAAAGGCGATGAGAGAGAAACATCGACCAGCTGCCTCCTGCACACCTCCTATTGGGAATGTGCCCACAACCAAGATACATGCCCCTTGACCAGAATCGAACCTGGGACTTCTGGTCCGCAGGCTGACGCTCTATCCACTGAGCCAAACAGGTTTCAGGGGAGGTCATGTTTTGATTCCTAGTCAGGGCACAAGCCCAGGTTGTAGGCTTGACCCCCCAGTAAGGAGATTGCAGGAGGCAGCTGATCAATGATTATCTGAAATCACTGATGTTTCTATCCCTCTACCTTCCTCTCTGAAATCAATAAAAAATATATTTTTAAATTCACATATATACTATGCATGTTTTACCTTTTGTTATCATTAAACATAATGCTACTTATTATTTTTTACAGCTAGAACTGTATCAGGAGACCCTGACAATCTTTCAATCCATGATGTTAGTCATCCCAGGGGGAAAAAAATCTATGGGGGCTGGAAAAGTAACTAGCTATTTTAATTGACCACTGAATTATTTGAAAGCATATGAATTACTGGTGTTGTGTTGATACAGTCTACATTTCATATAATATTAAAAGAAATAAAGCAGAGAGAATAAGGAAAATGAAGTCTATGATTTGACATATTTCATCATGATTTGTATTCAGTAATCAGATTCTTGAGTTCTGTCTGCTAAGCAAATACCTTTTCTCTTTCTGAATAGTCCTTAGCCTTATCCTCCCCATTCTTAGCTTAGGTATAGAGCTGTTTAGTCAGTAATCTTCAATATACTCTTCTCTTTTTTTTAAACCTCCATGTTCCAATAATTTCTAATCTAATTTTCACCATGGGTTCTTTATTTTGGATCAATATATATAGTCCATGATTCTCTGAATAATATTTGTGAAGGATGGTAGCAGGTTTCAATTTAAAGTGAAACAAAAAGATATTTTGGGCTCCAAATACCTACTTTTGAAAAATCCAGGTAGTCGAGGAAAAAAATGTTGTATTTGTTTACATCAATTGAATAATTCTTTCTGTGCATAATTGACTGTTTCTGTGTATGTGTGTGTGTGTGTGTGTGTGTGTGTGTGTGTGTATGTGTGTTCATAGGTATACTAAAAAACAATTGCATCAGCTAAAAATCAGATTATTTACATTTCTTTGGATGTTGAGCTTCAATAATTTTATGCTAATGAACACATTAAATAGCTACAAATATGACCTATAAGAAAAGAATTTTATTAGTAAAAACAGCATTAAAATTACTGATTATCAACTCAGAATTTTACCACAATGGTTCAGTTTACATGCAACAATGATTGAAATATACCTTGTAATTCTTATTAGTGAGAGGGGAATTTATTCGGATTTTCAAAGGCTTCCATGAGCAGTTTCCACTGTACAGCATGGCTTCCTTAGGCTGTTAACTATCAGGATAAGAAATTATCTAGTATCTGTGAGCTGCTAACTAAGAGAAATATATTGCTCAGGAGCTTTAGAAGACTATTTTCTTCCTATAGCTAATTTAAAAGTGGTATTTTATATTTTTTCATTATATATTCAAATAATTTCTCTGAAGGCCTTGTTCATGAGTTGTTGTTTTTTTAAGTTAAACAAGTATTTCTCACTTTTGATGTATTATTAAAATCATCAAAATTTCTATTTAGTCAGTGTGTCTACAAAAGCAAACTAAGGTAGAGGACTGAGTGATTCCTTCCTGGTTCTGGATTCTGTAGCCAGTGGATCTGGTAATTATGATTTAATAAAAAAAATTGTTTTATTCTCAAAAGCAATTATTTGGTTCAAAGTATTGAAGTAGTGTCTCAGAGCCCCACTTCATTTTCCCTCTGTGGACATAAGAACAGCAGTCTAAAAATAATCTTTAAAAATTAAAAAGTCATAGTGTTTCATAGCAGATAGGCGATTCAGTTTGCTTTCCTTGATTTACCTTTCTAAAATGCAATCTTATCAACCAGTAGAAACTAAGTCAAAATGAAATTTGAAAGTAAATTGAGGGCAGTTTTCTACAAAATAAGCTATTAAAATTCATTTAACCTCCCATTTGCTTTTAATTTAACAAAGGACAGATCCCCAGCAAATCTGTAATTGAGGGTTAACAATTATCAGATGAACTTGATGTATGTCACCAGTAATTCCCGGTAAGTGAAGCCACAAACAGGATATTTTAGTTCAGTCCATCTGACCATAGTGACTAATTGAATGAGTACTGGAAATGAAGCCAAACCTTCATTTGATTTCACTTGTCTACATAACTGGGTGGCTGGACCCAAAGCCCCCATGCTCAGTACTCAGAAATAACTAAAAGAAGTCATATAAGCACGTGATGTATATCCTGTGATACATAAAACTTTCAGTCCAAAAGTATTTGCATAAGCTGCCTATACTGTTTACATTTTCTGCCTCGCTACGTGCAGACATAAGGCCACAGTGTATTAAATTATAATACCTCTCTCTATTTTCCTCTCTCACTTTAAAAAAAAATATTTTTTATTGATTTTTTACAGAGAGGAAGGGAGAGAGATAGAGAGCTAGAACATCCATGAGAGAGAAACATCGACCAGCTGCCTTTCGCACATCCCCGGTAGCAACCAATGTACATGCCTTTGACCGGAATCGAACCTGGGACCTTTCAGTCTGCAGACCGATGCTCTACCACTGAGCCAAACCTGTTTCGGCTGTTTTCCTCTCTCTTTATATTTCTTTCTATAAGGAAATGTGCCTATAACCCACTTTATTGGTCAATACAGTCTGTTTATAATCTTTGCTACCCTCACATTAACCATAATGCAGTTAGCTCATGTTTCTCAATCATAATAATCCCGGTAACTAATGGACTGATGATTTTGGTCATGTTTGAAACATACAAATCACAATCCACCCCATAAATAGATAGGTAACCAGTAACCAGTCTAGCTGGCCATGAATTATTGGGATCATGAAATTTTTCAATCAATAATTATATTTGCTTGTCTGCAGTTATGTCAGATTCCAACTGATTAATCAGAATGAGCAAGAATCAAAGCATGTTGATCTTGGCACTGTCTTACTCTTCTCCAAAGAGGCTGTCAGTGGAAGGGAACACAGATTGCAAAGAGGTTTGAAAAGAATGCATCTCTTAACATAGATTTAACAATTAAGTTGAATACAAGCAGTATTCTATAGCTCTCTGTCTTACCCTCAAACTAGATGAAAAGATCAGTTCGGTTAGTGCTTTATTTCTTCTGAAAAATAATGGAAAGATAAATATATTTAACAAACTATGGCTTCAGAAATACCATTGTAGCAAACAATTTTATTAATACTTTCATAAAAATGGCATTTAATAAATTTTCTCTACTACCTTGATGTTACTAAAAGCAAACAAAAGTCATTAAAACAGTTCATTTATGTGATTACATTGATGTTTATAGCATTACTTGATTTTGTCATATAAACTAACCAAAAATACTAATAATCAAATCAGGGTAAAAACAATACAATGTGTTTTCTTTACTTTATTTCAAAATAGTGATTATAAATACATTTTAATATATTTTCTCCCCCAGCTCTTTGGATGTGACAATAACAAAACAAAACAAAACAAAACAAAAAACCTCACTGTGCTCATTTCATACAGTGTCAATGTACAAATCATGCAAAAGGTATTATAGATTACTGCCATACATTTCTAGATGTGTTCTCTTATTTCAGCAATACCTGTTGACATTACTCATGAGGCCATGCCCTGTATAATTTATGCATTCTTATGGCTTAAAGAAATGAAATGTTTTTAAAATTAACAAAAGAAAGCTGGTCTTAAATTATTTTCTAATTAATACATTTATTGAGTTTATTATGCAGAATGGAAAACTAAATATAGAATATAAATTGCCTTATAGACTTCAATCACTGTATTTTAATAGCTGCTTTCTCATAAAATTACACAAAGATTTATTTTTAAATAATTGAATCATCTTTATTGATTTCATAAAAAAATAATTTAAAACTTGATTTATATTACACGAACATAATATATTGTCTCAACCCCTTCACTGATTTATATGCTCTAATTTTCTTTGTAACTATTCTAATAGAGTCCAAACACACAATACAGTGCCAAGAAGCCCACGATATGGCAGACCACATTAGAAATGAACACTTCTTGGATTTTCTATATTTGAATCAAAACCAAAAATTCTGTATTGACATATATTTCACTCCTTCAGGGGTTAAACTAACATCAAGGTTATAGTTGAAGTCAACAAAATGTAGGTACAATATTTTAACTGCTCTTGTACTCAACTAAAAACTTATGTCTAACAACATTATCATAAAATATACAAGTAGAACTAATGAAAGACAGGTGCAAAATACTATACACTATATAATGTAGGCACAATGACTTTAGTTAAGGAAAATATACCAACCTTAACCAAGGATTTGTTACTGTCATTCACTTACAATTAGATCCTCCAAATAACCACATACACTTAAATTACTTTTTAAAAAGTTAAACATATACACCTTTCAGCAGAAGAGTTTGAGCTAGCCAATATGCTACAGGAAGCTTTGAGATAGTGGCAGGTATTCTTGCCATTGACAATTGCAGAAACCTTGAATCATCTTCAAAGCATTACCTGAATAAAAGGCATCATCCCAATGACCTGTGATCCCCAGATCAAGGATGGAGCTTTCTGGTTCCTCCCATAGTGTCTACTTAGGTTTTTCAATCCATCCACACTTTATTAACAGGATAAATGAAAACACTTTATTTGAAATATTTTCATCTTTATCCTGTCAGTATGCTTTAGGAGCCCTTTAATCCATGGATGCATGCAAGCATTGTAATGGTATTTTAAAAGTCCTTATGAAATTATAGATGAAAACAAGCTGTTGGGCACATATTTTCATGTTCTTTCTTTCAAGGTCAGAAAGTATTTGTTTGTATTTTTTAAATATTCATATAAAGTTTTCACAGACATTGTCATGAAAATTAAAACTGCACATTAAAGTTTTGAGAGCACCAGCACATACATATGGAGACTATGTTTGTTTGTTTGTTTTTTGCTATTTAAAAAAATCTCCAATTATTGATATGTATGCATACACACACACACACACACACACACACACACACACACACGTCCAAGAATGCCAAGTTGTCTGTTTCTTTATCTTGGAATAAACATAGGAAGCCCTAAAATTATTAATCAATAAAGGGACTGCTGTTACAACTTTAATTATAATATCATTTTAGAAGCTGTACTAAAACATTTGCCACTTGAAATCCATGAAGAATATATATGTTATTTACCTTCTTGGTCATTTTACTTATGAATAGAGTAATTATAAGAGATGGAACACAAAAAATATACATACACAGGCAGACCAAGAAGGCAATGTGTTTCAGGATGTCACTGCTAATCGGGAGCTCCTAAAAGTCTTCAAATATCTCCATTATCAAGTATTTCTTTCCTTTGACCAAGTTTGACTCAGCAGTTAACAGCACAAGCAAACACAGTGGCATATCATTTGTAGTTGCAGAGTGTAAACTAATCTGAGATCAATGAAAGCATTTTACAGTGTGGCTTTGATAGCCAAGATAACCATGATGTTTACTGTTCTATTTGATTATCTGATAGTAGTCAGAATGATGAAAGAACAGGAATACTGATGCATACGAGATATAACTATTAACCTTACTCATTACTTTTTTTAAATATTTGTCATTAAAACTATTTGATTTAAGCTCATAGAATCCTGAAAAGCAAGACAACTGATGGCGAATAGCAACTGCTCCAGACACAATACTATAAAAAACTAAGGGATCTATTTTAAAATGCACAACCGGTAACAAATCTGAAGAGATAATATGCTAAATTCTCAAGAATAGCACAGAACTTTTTTTTTTTTTTAATATTTTGTTCCTTTTTTGTTTTTTTTTTCTTTTGTTTTGTTTTATTTTTAAATTATACCTGATCACAATGTCCAGAATATTTCTGTACACATAAGCTTCAGTTTCAGTTTGGTATATTGTCTCTGTCTAAATTTAAACTTATTGATAAATTTCCTGTGATCAGGAAAACAAGTCAGGCATATTAAATACATATTAAGGAGTACATGTTTTCCTATTTAGTATACAAAGTACTTCATAAATATGAATTATGTTACAAAAATAGCTTTTGGTGCGCTCACATGGTAAGCACTTGGCTAATTTTGGACAACCTTTAAGGATTGTGGGTATTTCACATAACTGAGAACAAACTCTAATGTTAGTTTAAGTTGAGCCATGTTTAATTCTGATAAACGTCACATATTTCTTCAGATCACCACAAATGCTATGTAACTCACGTTGAATTTTTTTTCTCTCTTAGGTTTTATGTATAGACAGGTAATGCTTAAAGTGTTCAAATTTATTTTATACTTATGTAATGCATATTTGAAACAAATATTTGCACAATTTAACATTATAAATCCAGTAGTTTCAAGATGCAGGCCATAAAGGTTATCAATTTACAAATACTATCGAATGTTCTCTCTTTGCATGCTTTTTGTTTTACTTTTCAGATAATCTTTACAGAGAGTTGTTACAATGCCACAAATCAGAAGGAGTATTCCAGTTCCACCAACTTAATCTACGTGCAAGATGAAGGACCCAGCTGCGGTGTGAACACTGGTACCAGTTTTCTTGACTTCGCTTTACAAAGCACAAAGAGACGAAGGTTTTGCCTTGGGGTACAAAAGAGATTTGCCTCTTGAGGTTAAATTCAGTGTATTATGTATATAAAGCATCCCTTTGGCAACAGAGTTTGCAGTATCCCCACAGAACTCCACAATATAGGTTTTATGCAGTAACATCTATTGGAGGTTCTCTTCTACTGGACACATCTTTGCAGCTACAGTTAATGAGACACCCTTGGAAACATCTGTCTCTATGCCTATTGATAACACAGTATTTGGAAGTTAGAAATCAACAAAAGGCACTTTCATCATTAAATAAATGTCCTCTGCATGAAGTGAGATTTCGTGACCTAGATCTTGTTCAAAGCTGTTTGCTCCTCAAGTACTTGTAGGTAGTCGGGGGAACTCTGGAGTTTTGCCTTCAGTTCGAAATACTCGCTGCTCTTCCTTTGCTCCACCACAATTTTGCTGTGGTTGCCGCCTATCAATGACTTCTTGTTTTTCTTGTCTTGTTTTTCTGGATAACGGATCTCAAAGCCGCTGACGCCTATGCTGTTGTACTCCTTTTTGCTTTCGAGAAAATTCTGAATAAACACATTGGAATCCCTGCTCGGGAATAATTCATCCAGCTCATCAATTGTGCTCAATCTCTTCCTGCTATCCACATGTAGCAGATCTTTCTCCTTGTCGGCAACATTTCTCATGATGACTTTCTGTCCTGGGGGATCTGAAAACATGAAGCCTGTTTCAGACTCTTTCAAGCCACAGGTGTGGCTCTTGCTCATCTGTTCTATGGTTTGTGGAATGAAAGCTTCTGTGCTCAGTCCATCTTTTTTATTGGTTTTGTGGTCATGCTTCCTCAGCTGCAGCTGCATGGAACCACACTCTGCATTCCCCAGGCCTTCATGCTTCACCATGGGTTTCTTGTTTCGTCGCAGCACAAAAACAAGAAGGCAAAAAGCAACAAACACAGTTAAAATGAGGACCACTAAGATGCTTAAGATTAAAATAGACAGAGGCACTGGGCCCCCAGGAGGGCTTCGAATGGGACCCAGTGGGGTGGTAAAGGTAATGGCAGGTGCAGGGCTTGTGAATGGTGCAGATGGCTTGTTCAAGAGTTTGGGACATAAGATTTCGTTTTTCAGAGACTTCAGCTCGATGTTGGCAAACTGAACAGGTGTTTCACATCTCAGTTCTTTCACAACAATCCCGTCATTCAGCTTCTCCAGCCACAGCTTCAATGCCACTAAGTCACAAGTGCAGTCCCACGGGTTGCCCTCCAAGTCAATCTGTGTCAGAGACTGCAGCTGATCGAGAACTCCACTGACAGGCAGGTACATGAACTTGTTGTTCCTCAGGTTCAGTCTCGCAAGGGGTGCTCCAGAAAATATGTAAACGGGCAAGCTCTTTAAGAGATTGTTGTTTAAGTAGAGTAGCTGCAAATTGGGCAGCGAGTCAAAGGTGCCCGCTAAGATTTCTTTAATCAAATTGTATTCCAAGTACAGATACTGCAGGTTATGGAGGCCTGAAAATATTTCAGGATAAAGTCTTTCGATCTGATTGCCATTGAGATAGAGCCTGCGTAAATTAGTGAGATTGTGGAATACATCTCCCTTTATCACTGTAATCTGATTACTGCCTAAATGGAGCAAATCCAGTCCTTCAAACTCCGCAAAGTCTGAGATGTCCACATCTTTGATGCTGTTGCCATTGACATGCAACTTCTTGGCATTTAAGGGTTTCGGTATCAGCTCAGACATGGACTGTATGTTTTTCTCTTGGCAGTTGACACTCAGTCCAAAATCTGAAGGATGTGTTTTGCAGAAGCAAGGCGCTGGGCAAGGCGTCAGAGGGGGCACCCTCGTTTGGTAAGACACAATCTGACTAAGATTGCGGTTGGAGAGGGCTTTGCCTGCCACGATTCCAGAGATCTTGGACGGATTTGTAGTTTTCGGTGGTTTGGTCACTAATCTGTGGAAGGATGTTTGCGTAGTGTGACCATTGGGAGTGGTGTAGCTGGTTTCCAACTGTGATGGAGGCAGGATCCTTACATCAAAATCACTGCCTGTGCCCATGGGGCATAATTCTTGTTTGTTGGTTTCTTTTAAAAGCCTTCCATATAAGTCACTGGGAGTTTCACAGATAGCTTCTCCTATGTAAATATTATACGGCATATTCTCCAGCCAAGCTTTTAAAGGCAACAAATCACAGCTACAGTTCCAAGGGTTATCTTCTAGTTGCAATTCGACAACTCGGCCTATATGCTCCAGAACTCCGATATAGGGGAGCTTCTGGATTCTGTTTCCTCGTATATCCAGATGGGTCAAAGATGCGAATCGGAAAATATTATCAGGAAGGAATGAAATCAGGTTGTCATTAAGAATGAGAACTTTCAGTTTGTGGAGCTTATTGAAGGCTCCTCGTTCAATATACTTGATTAAATTGTAGTCAGCCTGGAGATACTCCAAGTTCTCTATGCCAAGGAAAGTGTCAGCTCGGAGAATCTTTAATTCATTGTTGTTCAAGTGCAACTGCTTTAATGCACTGAGCCCAAGAAAAGCTCCTCCCTCAATGTTCTGCAGTTTATTATTTCCCAGCTGCAGGGACACTGCGTGTGAAAAATTCAAGAATGTATTTGGATAGAGGATATTTAAAAAATTGTTTTGGAAATTGAGGTGATAAAAATTGGACCAAGGTGGTTTCAGCTGGTTTGGCCGGTAGACTGAAACCTTCTCACAGTTGACATAGAGCACATTCTCCACTGACACACAGGAGCACACATTGCAAATTTCCACGGATATGTCAGAATCTGCATTTGTCGAAGCAGAAATCAGGACTGACAAAACCAGAAAGAGCCAAAGAAACATCTTCTTGCAATCAGCATGCAATGTTATGCTTCTGAATAAAGAGAAATAATCTAAAAAATAAGAAGAAAACATTTTTTTCAATGATTATGACTAGAAAATTACTTGTATTTATAAATGCAGTAACTGAAAATTTGGCAAGCCATAGCAAACACGTGACTATAATTGTTAGCTTTGAATTTTGAAGATACCAAAAGATCCGGGTATTCTCACTTAGTGAACACTAACCACTTAAAAAGCCTTACATTTTATTTCCATACCTGTAGTGTATATAAAATTTACATGTGCAGAATAGATGACAAACAACAGGAAAAGACTGTTGATCATACTTAAACCTTAAAAATCTGAAATATTTTCTCTACTTGGACCACCAAACTGTGCCCTTGAACAAACACAGACCTTAAGCTTTCTATTTGCAACTCTAATGACTAATCTGAGTCCATCATGTCAGCCATGCATTTAGCATCACAAAGGCATTTCAGTTTGTAGGTGTCTACTCTCTAAGCTTCAGCTGGATAAAAGGCTGAGCAAAGGATGCCAATGGGAGAATTGGGTTGCTGTAAAGGGGACAGTCAAAAGGCCAAGGTGGAAGGAGCCCTGGGGAGAGGTCTGCCTGAACTTCAGCCCATTGAAAAGCACATTGCCATAAATCAGTTCATTCCTGTACACTGCTGCCTTAAAAAACCCGCAGATGACCCTGTAATGTTTTGGAAAAGAACAAAGTAGGGAAAGCCAAGTTTTAGATTCCATTCTGATAAATAAACAGTATCTAATTTCCTATCAGTGATCTTCCAAACAGGGAGAATATAACGTTTGTCTTTGAGTCCCTGAAAGCAGGAGAGAAACCTACTTGTTCCTGCACTGTCTAGCTGACGTCCAGACAGCTTTTCCTCCCTCAAGAACTGGCTCTCCTGTCTACTTTGCCCTCTTCCCTTCCTTCATGTGCCATTTTGAACCCAGGTCCTACAGGCACTTGGCTCAATGCTTACCTCCCTCACTTTGACCACAGATTGCCACTGCTGAGGAAGATGTAACACACTATGATTGTTGAGTGGCTATAGCTGCAGCCCCAAGTACATTTATTGCAGCAAATATTTGTCCTAAAATCATCATTTCTTAAACACAACCTTCCAAATATTACTACTCCATGTCTCTGTCTATAAATAAATCAAAATTTAATTTAGTGGAGTTTAATGCTTAGCAAATTAACCTATTTTAGCCAATTCCTTAAATACCACATGCATACACAAATATATGCAAATGCTTCATGGAAAAGATGAAAAGAAACAACAAGAATTCTTGTTTTATTGATGACATTTTAACCATGTAAGTATTTTCCATCTTGAATGGAAAGCTGGCTGCAATTACAATATGGTTATCACTAAATATTAATTAAATAACCCAGGAACACACAATGCAGGAATAATACAAAGCCGGAAGTGACACACAGAAATACCTTTGTGTATTTTGCCCATGAGGAATCAGCTAGTGGTAAAGTGAGCATGTCTCAAGGTAGGCAACCCAAGAGGCAAGACCCAGAAATATTTGCATTTTAAGTAGTTTGGTTCAGCATACAAGCAGCACTGCCTAGATGCTCCTTGGCTGATATATGAAAATGCATTCTCCCATTCACCATGTCAGCTTGATTGATAGCACAGAAAAAAGTCATAATTCTCACGTATGACATCATTCAAACCAACTTGCATTGTAAAAGCAAATTTTCACTCTATCCTTTTGCTTTGCTATAGATGTGTTTTTCAACACCCATCCAGGTTTAGTTGAGTCATTTCTTGTTATAACCCCCATCCCATACCCCCCCAAAAAAGTAATCAAGTTAAAAACCAAACAACAAAGAAAGGAATAACCTGAATTCAGTATACAAATAATAAAAGCAACAACAGATCTGAAATTGCATTAGGAGCTATCCTTCTCTGCTTAATTTCTATTTTAAGTAGCAAAGGGAAGGGGGGGGAAGGGGGGTGAAAGGTACAAGGACTAGTTAGGAACTTCCCAAATGCAGGTTTGTGTAATCAAGAAAGCCAACGCAGCTGGAGAGCATAGCAAGGGAGCTGAGGAATCATGGGAGAGAAGGGGAGACAGAAAGGGCAAGAGACCAGGGAGAAGTGGAAAGAAGAGAGGGGAGCAAGAAGAGGGGAAGGGGGCATTGCATGTAAACGAAAGAAACGTCACATCACATTCACATGGTACCACTAAAACATGCCCACTTATAAAACAGGGAGGGGGAATGAAGAGAGGAGGCAACAAAAAAAGAAAACACCAAGTATGAGTTGGGTACCAAAGTCATCTCTTTGGCTGCCAAGAGCTGCCCGGTTCGTTGGTTCGTTCTCTCTCTCTCTCTCTCTCTCTCTCTCTCTCTCTCTCTCTCTCTCTCTCTTCCTCCTCCTCCTCCTCCTCCTCCTCCTCCTCCTCCTCCTCCTCCTCCTCCTCCTCCTCCCCCTCTTCTTTCCCCCCTCCTTTTGCAGGACCCTAGGCTTCCAAGGCTAGCCAGGACTGCATAAACCTAGCCTTACCACAAATCTACCACAAGTGCTGCGCCTGCTGCTCCGAGCTCCCATGGAGGGAGCTGGCCTGTGAGGAGCAAAGAAGGAACCAGGAGGGTGGGCCTAGGTGGCACCCCTGGAGCTGGCACAGGAAACCTCCTTTAGCCTGCCTAAGGCAGAGGGGGTGCCCACTGTTTGCTACCTCGATCCAGCAGCCAAGCGCCTGGAGGGGCCATTGGCTATAGCGCGTACTGCAATGTTTTGCCGCATCCCATTGCCCAGAGCAGGCACCAGCCCCCTCCCAAGCAGAGCAGCGGCCTCTAGGGTCGGTCAGAGGAGGCGGGACCTCTGGGGATGTCTCCGGGGGCCTTCAGCCCCTCTGTGCCCACATTTCTTAGCGTGCGCCTGTCCCACAAGGGACAACTGCTGGAGTTTCCATCGGCCTCTCCAGACCTGGGCGTGCGGTGGCTGAGGGAGAAGTGATCACTAGCTTGAGCCACGAGGGCAATAGCCACTGGGGTGTCACTGGCCCGCTTGCCACAGGCACAGTGACCCTGTCCTTCCTTAGCCAAGAGCGGCGATCCAGAATCCCCCTTGCCCACCCTCAACCCCCACCCACCCCGCAGCCAGGCCAGCCACAAAACGCCGCTCTCCCCAAGCCAGAAACCAGCTCAACACTGGGGCATCTGGCAAAGTCGCGCTTTCAGCGCTTGCCCAGCTTTGCAGGGCTTTTAGAGTTTACCCACCGTCTTCTTTCACATCCCCTTTCTTGCCGGGTGCCAGTTGTCCTCGACCAGCTCCCGGGGCCACTGCCCGAACCCCAGATCCACGTTCGCCTAGAGTACCTGCGACCAGGGCACAGAAAACAAAGCCCCGCGCACCGGCCCCAGGCTAGGACACTTTCACCGCCGCCCCAGCCACCCTGAGGGCAGCGAAGCTAAGGACATCGCATTCCTTCCGCCCTCGGGGACTTGTGATCACTTCGTGGACAGGCGAGTGGGAGCGGCGGAGGAGCCCCGATGGCCGCTTTGGCCACTCCGCCGGCCCCCAACCGACACGACCCAAAACTAAAAATAATAAGCTCCTGGCCTCCCTCCACGCAAGGGCGCGCGCGCGCCTGCACAGGAACACACACACACACACACACACACACACACACACACATACACACACACACACGCACACGCACACGCACACGCACACACACTCACAAGCACACACATACACTCAAAAGCACCAGCCAACTGAGCTGGGAAGAGGCAGCGCGTGTGGGTGCAGTGATCTCAGCCCCCTCTGGAAATTCACCCACCTCTGGAGCCCCCTGGTAGGGCCCGGGGCTCCGCAATCCGCAGTTTCAGCAGCGATGGGCACTACGTGGTCTCAGCCCCAGCTCGTGGGCACCCGCTCCTCCTCCGTCAAACCCACGGAGCGGTCGGGGCAGGGAGCTGGCGGGCAGCTGCGCGCGCGCGCGCACACCCGGCCAGACACCGCGCGTGCACCCAGCCTCCCGCACCAGGGCTGCACCTTTACATACACTTGCTTAATCCCCGCCTCCGCCGCCCCCGCTGCCCCCCCTCCCCCACCGGCACCCGCTCGGCCCTGCCTCCCCCCCAACACTCAAGCACCTTGACCCCCGCACATTCCTGAGCTCCTCTGTCCCCCACGCAGACACCCCCACTCAATTTCTACCCACATGCCTGGAAAGAGAGCACTTTCCTCCAGGCATCCGCCCCCTCTTTCTGCCTAAAACATCCCCGGGGAGGAGCGACCCCTTTTCTCTTGTGAAGAGACGCTGGTTCCCTAATGCGAGGGCGCCAACCTCCATCCCCCCACCATATACACGCACACTCCCATATACACGCACACTCGAGTCATTTCTCCTCCCCCAGTCCCCTAAGAACAAGGCGCGCGCGCACCACACACACACACACACACACACACACACACACACACACACACACACAGGGGTGCGGGCGTTCCTTTGAGAGAGCAACCGAGAACCCCAGCAAAGCCAAAGAAACATCGAAGAGCCAGAGGGAAGATGGGTCGAGGGAGGGAGACAGGGGCGTCGAGTCTCCGAGAAACGGAATAATTCCAGGATCCAGGGGGGGTGAGTCAACAACAATGACATTCAAAAGCAACAATCGCACTTGGGCTTTGTATCACCGGTACCATACCTTTGGCTAATTGTCACCGGGCAGAAAGGAGGGCTCCGGGAGTACTTCTTCAGGAGCGGGCGATCCTGGATGGAGTCTTCTTTGTGGCCAGTCGCCCGGGATCGGGATCCAGTAGTATTTGCACTCCCCCTACCTGTCTGCACGGCATGGGCTGGGGGCTTTAAGGCAAAAGTGTGAAGCTTTAGCCCAAAGTGAGACTGTTTACTGGATTTAGGAGTCGGTTCATTCTCGGTACCTCAGAACTCTGAAAGCCTTTGGTGTAGAAAAGGTTAAGCAGGGTGATTCAGGAGCTGGGATGGGGAGAGGAGGATAGAGGTAGAGGAAAAAGAGGTGTGGGACTGGGAGAGAGATGCCGCACTTGCTACCAAAAGAAAAAAAAAATCTGCTTTGGCTACTGAGCATGCCCAGTCCCTCGCTCAAGCCCTATAAGGGAGGCATTGTGTGCATTCCACTTCTCCGGGCTTTGGTGGTGACCAGGAGGAGACTTTGGTTAGGGAGGGTGTTGGTGAATGGGAGACTTTAGGGGAAGGGAAGAAAGGTTTAAAGCTTTGGGACTGAGCAGAAGGGTTTGTGAAAAGATCCTTGGGATACCTCTAGGAGACAGGAAAGGAGACAAAAAGGTCTAAGAAAAGTCACTTCAGTAGCCCCCTCACTGTCACGTCTATACTAAAAAGGCTCTAGCAGTTGCATCTCAAACATACATCCAGAGTCTGCAAATCGCGAGAGTGGCTAGTCTAGGCCCCTTTCTTCTACCCATTTGTTAGTGTTTCCACAGAGGGTAGGAATATCCCAAGGAAGAGCTAATGTTTAAACTAGTTTCTTGCAGAATGGTAATTGAGTCCTTATGTTTGATAAGAAAGCAAATCTAACTATGTTATCTTGTCTGTATTTCAAATACCTTGTTTTCGTAAAAAGGAATAGCTGAATTTGTCCTTTAGCTCCCTTCCCCCCTAACCTTGCAGTTTTGTACGGGTTGGCAAAGAAAAACAACTCTTTTTCTTTACTTTGTGTTCTTAGTAATAAACTGGCTTTAGGTAAATAGAGGTAAATTATAAGTGGGAGGTATTTCCCTAGGACTCCTAGCAGTCCATTCTTTCACACATTTCAGGTAATACTGCAGGGCCCATTTATTAAGGATCTAACCCACTTATTCAAATTCCAGTAGCTCTATCTACTATAGGGATAGCCAGTACACAGAAATGCTTTTACTTAGAAATGAAAAACTCTTTTAAGCTAAACCTAGCAAGAGCTTTGAAATCAGAATTTGGCTGTCTGCCTGAACTCCTACAGTTAAACATTTACCATAATTGGTTGATGTTTAAAGGCCTCAAATTGAGGCAAAAAAAAAAAAAAAAAGGATCCGATGAGCAAAGGATTTGTTACATTCTTTGTGGATATTGTCTTAGCTTCAATATCATTTATATTATCTATTCATATAGTTTATTTTTTTAATTTTTGTCATTTCATGAGGCTGCCTTTAGGTTATACTCTTGCAAGTGTTTTCTGGACACAGTATTTATACAGAGATGCACATACATTATTTAAATGAATATTTAAATAGATATGTGTATATAGGCATATTTCTTTATGACCTTGGTGAATATTGCATCTTTTATAAAGAACCCTTTCTTCACCTCCACTCTCATTGCTCTGAAAAATTTCATCTTTCTCTTTTAAAATCAACCTAGAGGCAGAAATTGAGTGGGCAGCAATGGTAAAAATTTCCTATATTCAATGTGAAATCCATTATGAAATAACATTGCTTAAGGAAACATGAAAGAATCTGTCCATAATAACATATGTAATTGTGCAGCTTCTGTTGGTAAGGTGAAATGTATTTCCCTCATAGGTAACAGCTGCAGTACATTGAAAAATCCCTCTACTGTTGTACATTTGAACAATACAGATCCTACTAATTAAGAACTCACAGTTGCACTATATTGTAAATGCAATTTGAGAGTGGTAATGGATACCAAAAAAAAGGTTGGCATTTATTCTAAATGCGCGGATTTCAGGAAGCTACAAAATATTTTATCAGGATAGGTGAATTGTTTGTCCTTTACTATAAATGTTAACAAGATTCAATAGGATGAGCCAAACATTTTTTACCTGAAACTATAATAAACATTCCAACTATATCATAGCTGAAAAGGCCAGGTGTGGACAGTAAATATCAGATGATTTAAAAGTTTATCATTGGCAACTTTAAAAACTTTTGAGAGTTGACTATTTGACTGCAATAACTGGGGAATGTTCGCCATATGGATCTGGAGACAAAAATCTGAAAAAAGTACACCCAGAACATCAATAAATTTAAGTTAATAATAGTGCTAATAACATGGTTAATATTAAATAATTAAAATGAATGCTTTAATTTACTGTTTAAAAGTGACAAAGTGGGTATTCACAGAAATAACATAGAAGTAACAGCTTCCATGCCTTCTGTTTCTTTTGCATTCAAAGTAATTTAAGAAAAACAGCCCTCTAGTCCTGCAATCTCCTATCTCTTAGTACATGTGATATCCATAGGACAACAGTAAACTTAGGGAAATTGCTAGCTTAAGAAAAGGAAAGTAAATATATAAATAAATAAAAGTGTTAAGGAAACTTCAGCAGTATTTATGGCAATCGAAAGCAAAACAAGGTTGGTATTCTTCTAAAATGCATGAATGCAAATATTATGAGCCAGATTTGTAATAGCTTCAGGTTTTCTGCATGTTCCATTGCCCTTAATCTTGGCTTTGAAAGAAGTAGACCTGACCATAGTACTATGCTGATACACTGTGTCTCTCTCCCTCGGGGCTTAAAACAACTGCACCAGGAATTTCACCAAGCTTCTGGACAGCCTTAATTCCAAAGGCAGCTCTCTTAAATTAAACACTAACAACAAAAAATAACTCCAACAAAATATGGCCCTAGTCAGTGGTCTTTCACTTTCATTGCATTTTTCATTTACTCTACCATGTCCTGCTGCTGCTTAAAATCAAATTATCCTAAATATTGGTATCCAGGTATCACAGATTATTCAGTGTATCTTAATATTTAAATTTTACTTATATCAATATTCTGGAATTTAAAATAAATAGAAACTTGGCATATCTCTAAATTGAATACAAAAAAACTCTTAGGATGTTAATATATCTTCAAAAGGTGTTTCTGTGATCAAATTAATTTAGGAGACCCTGATAAAGCTAAGCATTTTTCTTTTAATTTTGGGAATTCTCAGTAAATTCAATTGTATTGAAAATGAATTCTGACTTAGAAGGGAAAAGGAATAGGTAGAGCATGTAAAATTTCTCCTACTTATTGAACAGTGTAATCCTTTTTTTATATGTACTTTGAGAAACCTGGTGCTGATTGCTCATTTTTGCAAATTTTATGGAACTTAGAAGCTGAAAAGTAGCTTTCAGATCATAATTTAATTCATACTATAGTTGCTACTATCTATTGAGTGCCTCTTCTTAGTCATGTTGTCCCAAAACTTTATTTTGTTCTATGAACAATACTACAAGGGAGTGATTCTTCTTAAAAAAAAAACACACGAAGTTCAGGGAAGTTAAGTGATTTGCCCAAGATCACACAATAAGTAAGTGATAGTCAAGATTTGACTCTAGGTTTTTGAGGTTTTCCTGAAACTTACAATTTCTTGCCCACAGAGAAATCAAAGAATTTTTAATTTTGAAAATTTAATAGATAAAAAGAATAAACCAATAAAGGGCATGACAATAAGTTGTGCACTACAGGCACTACAGGGTCTCTTAAGTTAGCTGATTTTACCCTTCTGCAATAGTGGGCTTATTCCATTCACCCTTCTCTGCTCTTTCAATTTTTATATCTAAGTTGATTCTGAACCTATGATGATATCTCAGGTGTCTCCTTTGCTACTGCCAAATGCAGCCATGAAGCCCGGCTTGTCTGGCTTAGTGGTTGAACTTCAACCTATGAATCAGGAGGTCACAGTTGGATTCCTGGTCAGGGCATATGGCTGGGTTGCAGGCTCAATCCCTGATCTTAAGGATAGGGCCACCGATCAATGATTCTCTCTCATCATTGATATTTTTTATCTCTCTCTCTCCCTTTCCCTGTGAAATCAATAAAAATATATTTTAAAAATAAAAATAAATAAAGTAGTAGGATTCATTCCTACAGTTATTCCAGAGTTAACATTATATCTGGTAACCTGTTTTGTTTGTTTGTTTTGTTTTTCAGAACCTAAGATGTCAGCTGTTAATGTATTAAGGTCTGAGTACTCCAGGCATTGGATGATTTTTTTCATATGATATTCTATTCACAAATTCTTTCTGGAGAATTAATAAAAAAGAATATGCTATTTTGAAGTATCTTTGTAATTCTAACTCTTAGTGATTATTTGTTTATATGGCTCACTAGTATCACTTTATATTCTTCAAAATATCATTTTTCTTAGCCACAGATGCAGACATAAGAGTATCGGTTCTGTTTACCCATTTCTTTCTGAGTATTTTATAACTTGAAGAAATCTCATCTTTCTAACGTCAGAAATTAGGGCTTAGAAACAAGCACAACTGCCTTCAGACAATGCAAAGATAATAAAGATTGTGAAGTAATAAAAAAATAGGGAGTTAATAGCCAGACAATCTACTGTGAGAATTATTCCCATAGGCTGTACAAGTTCCAAAATACCAACCAGAGCTTTGTCAGCAAGACAGAACGTTGATGAGAATCCTTCCATTTTTTCCATGCTCAATTCTATCTGGGAACCAGAATACCATCACCAGCCAGAAAATACATGTTTTCATTTTGCAAAAATATTGAGGGTCATTTTTCCCAATGCTTTTGTGCTTTTATCAGAGTATTATTTTTCCTTAGAAATTTAAATTTAAACTTTTCCTTCAAAATTGATATCGGTTAAAGCCCTTTCCTTTTTGTTTTAGAGATTACTTTTGTACAATTCACAACATCGGTCAAAATCAGGAGCACAAAGCAAGGCATAAAAGGCATAATTTGAATATCTGAGTTATGGTGTGACTGGATCACAATCACTATATAAAACATAAAATTTATACTTTCCTGAGGCTCAAAGGGTAAAGTCAGAGAAAACAGAACATCTGTGTGAGACAGTGTTATTTGTCTGGATTGACTATCTTCTTTTTCAATTCAAAATTGAAGCTTGTATTTCCCCAATCTGACTCAAATTGAGTAATGCCTACCCAGATAAGGTCTTCTTGAGAAAATGGTCCTCAGTCGCATGCCAAGGGATCATGTCATTTCTGAGAATTCCTGTTATATCTGTAATGTGCATAGAATTGTTGCTAGTCATAGAGTTTAATATTCTTATGGCTTAACCACTCCAAATCAAGCTGAACTTTTTATCAGAATAACACTCAATGCTT